GGTAGAAATTAAAATAACAATGATAAGCTGACTTTGTGACTCCATGTGAAAGAGTTCGTCCAGGGAAGTAATGCCACCTTACCTATTTCTGCCGTCAAGCAGTAATATCAGCATTACTGTGTTCCGGTTTTGAAAGGTAACGGTGCTGGTGAAATTACAGGCACATGGGATTTGACAACTTATGTCTCAGGGTGACGGGCGCAGTGGCAGTGCCCCTCAGATCGTTGCGATTTAAAGCTCTGAGGACACTGCAATTGTTATGGACAGGCGTGTCGCTTACCATCAGGCGCACGACCTGTTCGTCCCGTCACTTGATATTATATACAAAAATTTTTTTTTCATTAATTTATCGATATACCTCACCTCCAGCAAAAGCAGTATAATGAAGTAACCTTAGCACGTCGCTTGTCGCAAAAAATTATGATTTTAAAAAAGAAATGTTTTTCTACTAATTTCTTACAAATAAACATTGATTTGGTGTTATTTTAACTTTAATGTATTTTCATAAACAAAAGCTATTCATTTAAAAACGAGACTTATTAGAATAATCTAAGAAATACGTAAATTAGTGTACGTTATTACAAGGTAGATTTTGATTAGATTTTGTAGACTTTTATGAACTGTCACAGGGACCGTACTAGATTATTTTTAGTATAGTTACATTTTATATATGGATATATTGGAGTTAAAGGCACTCTCTTATAGTTGGGATTCCATATAGCCATACTGACTTCAGTGTTGTTTCGTAAATAAATAGTTTATTTACTATTGACATCTTGTTTTCGTCCAACCAGTTAGTACAGATTCTGCTGGTATATTTTTTGTTTCTATAATGTCAAGTGACGGGACGAACAAGTTGTCTCCCATTGGGGTAGGCACAGACTATAAACCTGCATTCACTCTGGACACTTTCGCTACCTCTCGCATCATCATTTACGTACATCGAGTATTTAACCAGAAATGGAGGCGAAATGTCATTTATTTATCGAGTTCTTAGGTTTTCGCGATTGTTACACATAGTTTATTGTTACACACAACCGACGTTTCGGATCACGTTCCGTGGTCACGGTTGACTGAGGTGGTACTGTCTTCAACCAGCTATGTCTAATATTGATGCAAACCACCCTATTTTTCCACTATAGTTACAAAAGTTATTAATTAAATACCTTATTTTTAATTTTACAAAGAAAACATTCCAATGAAGCTACATTAAGTTTTACAAATTATTTTGTTGAATGAATTTTTATTAAGTTCAATTTATTATTAACTAATAATAGAAATTAGAATAAATTAAAACATATTAATTAGTACTGCAGTCTTATGTCTGTTTGGGATTTTTCATCAGAGGAAATACTCGGTCGATTTGTTTGAAAAAAGAAATATACGCGATTTAAATCCGGAAATATAGTTTCATTTCCTATGTCATTTAATTTGTTTGAATTAGTTTTCAAATCATTACGGTGACAACTGCGCTCCGATTAGGCAGCCAGAATTCGAAACAATTGACGGATCACGGGTGTCGTCATTTGTTTCACTTCAAATCGACCAGTTTAACTTGAGCTTTGCTATAATGGACGAAAATTGAAAAATTACATATACAATATTTAATTATCGGTGAAATGTGATACCGTTTGTTTTGTAATGAGATGTTTTGCTGTTTTTCGCACACCACCGAATGGAACAGCCACCCATTCTTAGAGATATTATCTTTATTACAATAAATACAGAATATTTTTGGAAATTACGGAGACATGCACACAGGTCAGTTGTTGGCGCTGTACTATTTCAGCTTTCTAATTTGTGATTTCAGCGCACACGTGAGTTGATATTTAAAAGTGATATAAGGCCCATTTCCCTGATGAGTTGCCAGTGAAGGGCCCTTATTTCGTCTCTATTTCTGATTATATACTCGATGTTACATATCTTTTTAAAATCAGACGTTATAAAATCATACATCATAGGACTATGTTTCAGTTGTTGACAAACCGCTTTTAAAAAAGAAATAACGACATAACTATTTTTTATAAATTAAAATTATGGTCATCAGTTGAATATAGTCTAATTTTTAAGTTGTATAAAACTATGTTTCGTCCGCAGCATGCAACCCGACGAACTGGCGAACTGCAACATCATGTTGTGCGACGGTACCATGCTGTCTTTGCAGCCCAGGCCGCTGCGTCAGTCCCAGGCCTTCATCCCCTTCTCGCTCATGGAGACCACCGTGCTCACGCAGCTCAAGACGCTCAAGGATAACTTGGACAAGGTCGTCCAACTTGGAGAGAAGGCTCTCAAATAGTTGATATACATAATGGTAACCACTTTCCTCGTTGTCCTACTGGAGAAAATGAACAGTGGTGTTGTAGGGAATCGGAATCGCTGTTGCCAAAGGTACAGCCACCTTATAAATCATTTGATCGGTCAAAGTAATATATCCTACGCAATCATAGTGTAGTAAGTTTTTCCTGACGTTCAGAGTTCTCAAAATATCTGCATATTTTCGCATTAAATTTAACAATTTCCATCTTAATGCACCTTAAAGTTAATATTTGAGAAATGTGCAGAGTTTGAGCACTAATAATTGACCACTACACTTAGTGGCGGATTTGCAGTCCTGGCCGCCCTAGGCCCCAGGCCATGTAGTCAGTACCAGCATCCGTTTAGTAGTTTCTGAGTTTACAGACAGACAGACGTAGTCGTGTAGTGATTGTACATTATAGATATGTAACATATCTATATTTTATATATAAAATGTACGAAAGTAATTTAGGAAGATTATTATTATACGATGCGGTGCAGTGCTATAATGTGCGCAAGCCTTTAGAATATTTATGAGCTGTTTTTTGTTATGATCAGTGAATTTTTTGTCACGATTGGCCGCCCTAGGCCTACTTGGCCTTAGGACAAATCCGCCACTGATTACACTTTGCATTTGTAGATATTATTGATTAGTTTTTTCCGTTATAGGTAGGTCATTGCGGGAACATATTAATAGTAATGTCATAGGGATTCTTTGTTGCCCAATGTACTACGGGACAATCGCAATCCCGCCGGGTACCACAAAGAATAGCCGTTACTACTATAAGTCATCACCAGTGGTAACAGGGTGAAAAGAGGTATTTAGTAAAACTAATTGCGGGCTTATTTAATTATACATATAAAAGGACAATGGCAAATTCCCATATAAATTTTTGTTGACATAATTTGTATGCGTCTGTTTATGAAAATACAGAGTTGAAATTCCTGAACAAATTTTGTTTTGGGTTTACTATTCTGAGAAGTTAGGAATTAAAGATATTCCAGTTTGAAGTTTTGGAGGTTATGTGTGTAATTGAATAAAATATATTCGGTATATTATTATAAATAAACTACAGAAGTCTTAAACAGAGTTAATAGAAGTTGAATAGTGTCGTGAGTTTGTGCCGTGACGAAAGTTCAGAGAAAGTAATTTTGTATACTGGTATGGTCAAAAGGCATGAAGTTAAGCCTTAACAAAAAAACTGACTTAATTAACAACATACCACAGACTATTGCACTAGTAACCCGGACACAAATTTTTTTTTTGTGAATCGTGCCATCTATCCCTGATTTTGGGAACTTTTTTGTCACTTTTATCATTTTCTCGCGTGGCATTTAAGAGAAGAAATTATCGACTTTATTTTTTGTAATGAAGTAGTTAATCTTTTATTAGCTTAGAATCAGTACATTTGGTATTACGTGAACGAAATGTGGACCAGATCCACACGTAGGTACTGAAATTCCTTTTTTGGCGGTTTGATGTCACTCAACGTGAAGAAACTTAAGAAACTGATAGTTGTAGATATCAGTCCGGTTTCATGGTTTTATACTAATTAGTCATTAGAGTTTCTTTTAAATATGATTTCATTTCTTGACTTAAGTTCAGAAATGAAATCAAATAATCTATCTAGATTATTCAAACTTGTGATTAAGACATTTGAAGAAGCTAATGAACTCTTTTAACTATGAATTTGCCATTGTTCTTTCTTCCATTTGACATCGTATTTGTAAAGAGCTGAAGTTTAACTAAAAATCGTTTGTTTAAAGCTACATAATATATGAGGGATTATCATGGATAGAGTGAATAAGTTTTTTTTAAATACTTTGTGTCGTCGGTTACGTCGTCAAGCCGACGACGAAACGTATTTGTTTAATGTCGACTAATTTGAACTTAAAAAAGAAGTCACTAGTGTCTACTTACTGCTAGTAACCAAAGTAACTAAAACTTACTGATATCCTGAGAAGTAGTGTTTTTTGTCACACAGTTACAGATAATTTGGTAGCACTATTATTGGAGTTGTGTAAAGTAGATATTTATAATTAAAATTAGCTATTCCCCGCGGTACCACTGGTTGCTATCTTCTGGTAGTGCTAGGAAGAAGACACCCACCATAGGAATTTAATTATAATATAAAAGTATTACGTGTGTTGAAAACGAAATGACTGAATTGAACATTATTTTTTTAATTCTTAATGGTATGGCTGGTTATGAGAGGTGTAATTATGCTCATTATAATTATACTTATTATACTTTAGTAATAAATAATGTAACAAAAACTGTTTTGTTTAATTGATTTTTGTAGTAATATCACGTCGTCTAAAACTAGCTAACTTCACTAAATAGTGTATAGTGGGTACATAAAATTTTTCAAAAAAATATTTTGCATCGAAGCGAGTACATTCCGCTGTTGTCCAAAATGGAGTCATTACAAGTAGCATATCACGTCCATAAATGGGGAAATAAACCTTCCCATGTTTATGGAAAAACTGCGCTGAATTGAAAATTTACTTATCACCAGGAAACTAAAAAAAAAACGGTAAATCGGCGAATTTAATTTTAATAACATTTATAGGTTACAACACTAGACTGACAAATTAGTCATTCACAGTCGGAGAAAACTGTTTATTAACAGAACAAATCGGCAGAAAAATACCAGTAGTTCTGTCAGTCAACATAACTAGTGGGAGTAGTTGATCACACCGAACTCAATTCATTAATATCTGAATTTTATTGAATTTAAACAAACAATTGAAAAGGTACTTGAGATAAGGCTATGTTCGTTTTGACAGATTACAATTTTTTTACATTTATATTTAGTGTTGCTTTAGCTACCCCTTGTAGCCGATAAAAAAGTTTCAATAAAACGAAAATAAAAATGTTTACTTAGGTAATATATCGTTAATTCGAAACTGCTTTGTTTCGCTTTGATACGAGTTTGCCGGAGGAAGTTGTGGTGGATAGCAGTCCTATAAGAGACGATCGTATTAGATTTCATTTTTAAAAATTTCGATAAACAAATGCTGTGTTGTGTCATAAAATTATATAGCCATAAATTTTTCTACACGTCACTATTGACAAGAATGTATGTACATCAATTATAATATGAAACTTGATGAATGGACAGACGTCCACTATAATCGTTGTTACTTATGTCTGATATTTTTGAATGTTCAGGGGCCTTACCATGAACTCTTATTACGATTCACTTTAGGACTATAAAAATGAATCGCTGTGAGACAGCGCTACATGAAGTGCATATTACCATCTCGCTTCTTTGGCCTTGCGAACCTATACTGAACTGTAATAAGAGTTCGTGGTAAGGCGCCTGGTCGTTTTCACACTTAACTGAACCGCTTGCATACATGTTTTATTATAACTCCAGCCACGTTTCATTGCAATTTTTAAGTCTATTAGGATTACAGTGTACGGACTACACTGCCGTCCTTATCACAAACAAAGTAATCGACATTTATAGCGAAATTGAGTTATTAACATGTCTGGAATCAGCGGAACGGCATCCATGACCTCTTGGAAGCGGTTTTTTTATATATCTTATTTAGTTTGTTTTATTCTTGAGCAAAATCAGTGTAATGAACATTTTTTACAGAAAAAGAACTTTAGGTGGCAATACTTCGAAATTTACCAAAATGAAAACGCGTTGTTTATGACTAGTAGTTAAAAGCGATGCCGGACGATGCGTTGCGTCGGTGTTGCAACGCCTGAGGACGCGTTCTCATTATATAGTGACGACAGATAGTCGTGCAATTTAAAGCGTCGTCTTGTACACTTGTGCATTTAAATGAAGTTGTTCACATATGTATAGTACAACAGGATTTCATAAAAAATATCAATTTAATACAAATTTAAATACAATTTACAGCGGCATCTCTAGTCAGGGCTGGTAGCTGTAAAGTTACCTAACCGTAATTCTCAGTAATTCTCATAGATGGCGTTACGACAAAAATTTTGAAAGCCAAATGCGAAAATCCGACAAACAAGCACATATAGAAAAATTCGTGAGGTCCGCTGGTTCGTTCCGTGGCTTAGTTGGCATAGCATCTGGCACGGTTTGCTAGAAGACATCGGTTCGTATCTTTGTATTAACAATTATAACAAACTAGTGGAGTAATTTCACAAAAAATAATAGGATATGACATTGTCCATGAGATTCTGGTTTGGTTATAGTTGAAGAAATATAATTTGAACCGATGAATGTTATCTCTTGGAACGGCTTATCGTTTCTATTACAATAGGGTAATAAAACCATTAACAATTGTTTTACTTAAAGCGTACACGGATTTACCGGTCTTGATCCATCGTACCAGTCATGGGTGACTTTTCTGAATTCTAGTTTTTAATTATTTCTTTACTCAACAGGTCGTTTTTTTTTGTACTATATGACGAATCAATTCAAATAATATTTCGCCAAGTGTACCCCAAAAGCCGACAAACACATAGATTATACATCATGTTTAAAAAGCGCGTTTGAAATGACAGACTTGAATCTGAACGTTGCCCAAGGAAGCTTTTTTTCAACTCTATTTATGAGCTTTGAGATCACATAGAGTATATAACCATTTAAATTGTTTGAAAACTATTCTGCCCAATCATTAGTGACAACTGCGCTCCGACTGGCCAGCCCGAATTCGAAACAATTGACGGGTGTCGTCAATTGTTTTACTTCAAATCGACCAGCTTAACCTGAGCTTTGCTTTAATGGACGAAAATTTAAATATTACTTATCTAATATTTCATTACCGATGAAATGTCATTCCGTTTGTTTTGTAATTAGATGTTTTGGTGTTTTTCCCACACCACCGAATGGAACAGCACCCCATGGTTAGAGATGTTATCTTTATTACAATAAATTGGAATTTAGAGTTTGAATTTGACAACAAAATATTTTTAGACTATACGGAGACGTACACACAGGTCAGTTATTGGAGCTGTACTATTTCAGTTTTCTAATTTGTGATTTCAGCGCAAACGAGAGTTGATATTTAAGTGATATAAGGCCCATTTGCCTGCTGAGTTGCCAGTGAAGGAGGGCCCTTATTTCGTCTCTATTTCTGGTTATATAAGTACTCGATGTTGATCATTATTGGACATCACAGCCCCATTTGTAAAACAATATATCAATTAAACACTTAATAAAATCCAAACAAATAATACTACCTATACACAAATAAACAAATAATACTATCTAACCAAATGTGTGGTATACAAAATCTCCGTGGCACTGCATGTTGACTCAATTTCCGAATAAATGTTCAAAAGTTTTGCATATTTTTTCCAAATACTAAAAATTTACATTTTTTTTGGTATTGTTTTTTCCATTGTGGAAAAAGAAAGGCACTAATGTGCCATACAGCCTAGACTAGACAGAGTAATTTCTTTCTAAATTACCGTGCTTGTTTTTTTAACATTCCGCACCATGATGTTAGATTTAAAACTAGATCTTCTACACGGTCGACCTTTTTCGCGAATAAACTAGCTCAAGTTTTTATGTAAGTGTGCCCTGTAAGGGACTTTTTAATTTTTTTCAACGACTTGCTTACGGTTCAAATCGTCTAATAACCATTCAAAATAATAATAATAACACACACACTCATAGCTTATTATATTGTAGGGAAAGCCAGAGAAACCCTGGTGCCATAGACAAACACAAATTACACCCAAACTCACGAGAGAAATAAATGTAGGCCATACAAATATTTTCTCCCGGCACAGGAATCGAACCCGGGATCTCTGCGTGGCATGGAAACCGTCCGACCACGGAGGCAGTCAGAAAACATATAATTATTGTGAAATCTGATAATTGTCAGCATCGAATGTCTATGTATCAAGGTGGAACCTGAAAAGTAGCATGTAGTCCTAAGGTTCCATCCTTGTAATTAGCACCAGATTCCACTACATTTCGGAAACTACCTTTATTTTTTTTTTGTTGTAAATGTGCTATAAATAAATGTCTTATGTTATTAAACCGTAATCAATTACGCAAGTTAGCTCGCAGCAGTAAAGCTGGACCGTGTGGACAGGTCTTTATTTCCCTTTGGCCAGTATAAGTTAGCCACACGGTTACTGCTCGTTAAACAGTGTTGTAGTACTCAACAAAAAAACTATAAACTATTTCTACACAATTTACTTTTAATTTGTTGCACAAATCACTTGTATCCGTGCTTGTGGAGTGTTTGTTCAACTTCCTTAACATACTTCTCCGGTATTTTCTGTTGCCTCATTGTTGCCACCTGTAGGGAATAGAACGATGAATGAATTAATGAAATATTCTTTATAGCGCATTAAATTCACAGTGACAACTACTCTATACACAACAATAAGTAGCAATTTCGTCTATGTACTTACCTTGGCTTTAATAATCTTCTCCTCATACTTGTCGGACTGCTCCTGTTCCATTCTAATTGCGACGCCTTCGTTGTGAACTCTGTCTCTGATCTCCTGCCTGGTTCTTTCTTTGTCATTGATCTGTTTCATTATTTCCTGACGGTGTTTCTCTACACGCGCTTTGCGTTTGTTCTCCAACTGTAAGAAGAAGTTAATGGTTTAAACAAAAAGTCGGTGGTTTGTGATTCTTGAGAGGTTGCCAGTGGTTGTGCACGAAAGGAGCCTTCTCGTATGACGTACCATTGCTTGCTTATACGTCTGGCGACGAGTACCTCACGCCAATTGGCAATTCTTTCATCACGATAGCAAGCATCATAGTGTATCATACACGGGTCTGATGATGAACACGTTCGTTTGCCTCGTTAGTATGTGACAGAGGCGTTCATCCCGCGCGCAGCTAGCGCGTGTTAGTAACGGTCTAGACGAGGGCATAAAGCGAGGAGAGAGCATGAGTTATTGTTCCATGGTCGCATTGCGACCGGCATCTCCGGCACTGGCATGGAGAGCTAATATAGGATAACCTAGACGTCCTCTGGTCCTTCCAGCCGCGTAGGTTTCTGGGAACTGGAGAGACGCTTCGGCGTCGGAACGTAAGCGTGCCTACAGCTTCGCCACTAAAGAGGAGATTTGATAGGTAGGAACCTTAGAGTCAAAGGCTTAACGGTGGCAACCGTTAGTTGCACAACGCGCAAGGGGAAGTGAGCGTGCCTACAGGTCCGGTACCTATCTGGAAAATAGGAGGGTGCTGTACATGCACCCGGGGCAACACACTCAAGTCCTTTTAAGAACCGGAAGATCTGGAGTCAGGACCTGTCTGACAAGGTCCCTATGCTTGGACAGATTACAGTCCCTTTCTCGTTTACCGTAAGGATCAGTAGGGAGGGTTACTATAATCAAGACTTATGTCGAAAGGAACGCGCCTAAATGATTTTAAGGGCAGTGTCTACGCGGTTTAGTCTCGAGTTGACCAGCTCCGCTTTAGTACGAGTTTCCTTCGCGTATTAAAAGTTACGGCATCCTGCATTACGGCAGTCTCAACCAAGGGTTGTTTATGTGTTGCAGTCCAGACTCCCAAGTTTGCTATTTTTAAAAGAGTGCGAATGACATTGAGCCACTATTCAACTGCCGTTGCAATTTTCTGGTATTCTGCTCTGCAATGGCGTGTCGTTTATCGATGGACTATCGATTAGTGCGCTAATATTGTATAATTTCAATTTGAAGCCTAAATGTATGATTAAACGAGATAAAAAACAAGAGATGCACAGTAATTTCCATGGTGCTTGCGTACGGCAACATCGATGGTTAGTGATTGAATGATTGCTATCACTGCGATTCCACTGACAACGTATTGAGGCTCAATTGCTATCGCAACTGGATTTTAGCAGAATAACGAATATTATCGTAATTGCAATATCATCTTAATGGAGTTACAATGACATGTAGTTTCAAAAAAGTTAGCAGAATTGGGTCCCTGATAAATTTCATTTGATACCTCATTTGACACTCAGAACATCCCATTTGTTTAAACATTTCTTCCGCAGTTTTCTAAAGCCTAATACAAAACGATAATCGACAAAGTGTTACCTCTTTCTCCTTACGCAAAAACTCTTCGTTCTGGCGAGCCGCGTTATTGAACATCTGCTCATCTTTGGCGATCTCTCTGGCTATCATTCTGTGTATATCGTTGATCTGAAAAAAGTTGGACCAGTTTAATGACTCTATCGAGTCGCCCGAAGTGTTATCTCTGAAAGAGCGTGTACCGCTGCTGGTACCGCTTGGAATGTTCGGTAGGATTGTAATGTAGCCAGGGGAGTAGTAGCCTCCGCAACCTCTATACATCTTGCTTAGTAAGTTTAAAGTTCAAAATTCAAAAGGGTAAAGAAATAGTGGTAATAAATCCAGTTTTATAAATATTGTTCCCGTTTTATTAATATTTGTGATCTCTAAAATGTTTATTGCACGCGAGATTTTTGGTAACTGGTAAACGGTTCAAACGGTTCAGATTTGACTTAAAATCAGCACGCGGTTTTTTTATCACGGTTTTGTTACAGTCTTTACGCCTTGTTCGTTGCGCTTTCTGTACTCTTTATTTCTACAATAAAATTCATGTGGACCGAGTCTTCTATTTAATTACGCGAGACCCGCGTGACACTACTAATATAGAATTTCAGTAAATCTCACCTGCGCAACTCTGGCCTTATGTAAATCCTTCAAGTCTCGGTTCTTTTTGATCGCTGCATCACGCTCCTTGCGCCGATATTCGCGCTCCACATCCTCCTGGATCTTCAAATTTCTAATACGTTCCAGCTCTTCTTTCAGATCCTTCTCTGCCTGTAACATTAAGATTTCCGGGGGAATGTTACACGTTACGTACAGCAAACTTAGGTTTCTTTTCAACATCAAATTTCTCTGGCATAAAATATTTGGAATATTTTTGATAGCAGTTTAGGTATCTGAAGAGATTAGCAGATACAGAAACTGAAGATCAGTGGTTGTATTAGAATCGTCGAGAATTGTGATGTGTCCATTAGAACCAAATCTTTCTTCTTTGAATAGGTGTACCTTCCTTTGTTTACACAGCGTCTTCGCATTGTATGGTTTTAAGCCTCTGGCATTGCCGACAAAAGACAATAACTGGTATTACCTTTTGAGCTTTAGCAATATGATCGATGCCCTTCTGCTTAGCAGCCTTGACGGACATGGCCTCTGCCAAATTCTTCATGTCGCGCTCATATTTGGCCTTTATAAAGTTGTCTATGCGCAAGTTCATAATGCGTTCTTCTTCTTGTTGCAGTTGTTTGAAATACATGAGTTCGGCGTTTCCTAATTACGAGAATAGAAAATCGGGTATAAAATTATTGTTTCATGATTTGTTTAAACTAATTGCTACGATGTTTAAAAACCCTTTGTAGAAATTAACCTTACCCAAGTCTAAGATGAAAAAAAATCCAATTATGCTTTGCAAACAAGTCCTCAAACCTTATACGAATCAAATTTATTTTCCCGAAAATATTTTGACAAAAGAAGACGTACCTTGATCAAGCATTTCTTTAAGTTTCGCCTGTCGCGCATGCTTTTCTTTAAGCTTCATAGCTTCATCTATCTGCATCGCGATGTTACCCTGATTCACCCGAATGCTTTCTTCTTCTATGCGTTCGGCTTCCATTATCTGTATAACAAGAAAACCAGGATTACCTGTGTCTTCGCAAGGATAGTTTACGTTATTGTATTAAAAGTAGATAATTATGTTTACTTTAGCAGTTTCATGTGCAAAAATTTGCTCCTTCAAGGCGGCGAGGTTCTCTAACCGCAACTGGTGGCGTCTCTCTTCTTCAGTCTCGGCTCGTTTTACAGCTGATTGCCGATTCTCTTCCATTATTGCGTCCAGTCTGCAAGTAGGAAATGTATTTAACTTATAAATTATTCGCAAGACTCTGCAAAACGTCCATCACATGAGGCGTTAACTAATTGAGTTCAACAATATTCTGTGCCAAATTTATGTTCAATAAGAGTTACTTTTGTCAAAATTTTATGGGTAATATCCTTATATGTACCTTACACCCTTTATATTGGGCATGGTATTGTACAGATCGCTTGAGATCAGGCGTAAACTGGCGCTTCTAAAATATATTTTTAACCTAATAAGAGGATATATAATTAATCCTCATGTATTGGCTCAAATTCTTTTTTTATCCCGCCAATATCACGTTATGTCTTTCGTCAGTTCAAAATACCCTCTGTTTAACTTTCATTTAACCCGCACAATGACATTAAGAGGGACACGATTCTTCGAAGTCCTAGCCGTAAATGAATCCTTAAGTAGGACAAATGATATTGACGTGCTCAGTAACACTGAATCAAAATTTCTAACATGCGCTGGTTACTATTTGGAGACGGTCACCGTCCAAAGCTCTGTGGTCCAAATTTCGCAGCTTACTTTTGGCCGGTGAGCGACTCAACCTTTATGTGACTTTGTGACGTACACTTTTTTTTAACTTTTATTTTGGGCTACTAAATGAAATTGTAATGAATATTTTTTCTCACTAATTGTTGATATAACTAATAAACATTACTAATTTAATCTTTTTTTTCATAAATAGCATTAAATAATTGAACAATTTTTATTTTAACAAAAAATGGGAATTGTCCAATTCCCACCTGTGGGGTACTTTGATACATCGCTTGGGGCACTTAGGGTCGTATTCTAGAACTCTACTCAATGCTCAAGTCAGGATTTGAGCAGACTTGAGTATGATTTCAAGCACTGGAAATACGACCCTAATGGCAAGGACTTGAGTATGATTTTCAGTGCTCACTGCAATACTCAAGTCTTGACTTGAGTATTGAGTAGAGTTCTAGAATACGACCCTTAGATGTGTGAATCAAAGTAGTGCGCCATTCCTGGTTACCACGTATTAACAGCACTGGGTGATCTACTGTTCATAAAGTATGACGCTATATGTGCCTCAGTACTTGCTAGATCAAGATTTCTTTCAGGGCACCATTTGAAAAGTGTTTTTTGTAATGTAGTGTTGGAAGTAAAAATACAAGGGAAGAGCTGGCTATAATGCAAAATGTCACTAGTTCACCTCTTTACAATAACTTGTTGAAACAGTTTTACATTTTTCGTACAAAATAACTAATAGGAGAGAATTTGATACGTACCAAACTGCCCCACTCTCTAGTGCATAAAAGTGGGGTACTTGGGGTACCGGCAAGTTTAGAAACAAATATATAAGAGTTCGTGAGGTCCGTTGGTTCGTTCCGTGGCTTAGTTGGTATAGCGTCTGGCACGGTATGCAAGAAGACGTCGGTTCGAATCCGATCGGATCGAAGGAATTTTTCTGAGTGTTTTTTCTTAGTGTTCGAACTTTGTATTAATAATTATAACAAACTAGTGGAGTAATTCCACAAAAAATAATTGAATATCAATTCAATAAAAATTTAATTAATACAGTGAATAGCGACATCTCTCGCCAGGACTGGTAGCTGTAAAGGGTACTAACTGGTACTAACTGGGTGATAAATCTGTAATAGATTTCTCATAGATGGCGCTACGACTAAAAAGTCGTTGAAAGACCAAGTACAAAGACACGACGCGCAAGCACATAGAAGAGTTCGTGAGGTCCGTTGGTTCGTTCCGTGGCTTAGTTGGTATAGCGTCTAGCACGGTATGCAAGAAGACGTCGGTTCGAATCCGACCGGATCGAAGGAATTTTTCTGAGTGTTTTTTCTGAGTGTTCGAACTTTGTATTAATAATTATAACAAACTAGTGGAGTAATTTCACAAAAAATAATTGAATATCAATTCAATAAAAATTTAATTAACAAATATTCATTAAAAAAAAATCTTTATACATTCTCTCAAAGTCACATGCGATTCTAGTTATTGAAAACACTAGTTTGCGCTGTATTAAAACGTAAAACCCTGTAAAGTGAACAAAGCTGTGGCACTCGTATTTGTGTCGCTTATTTGTTTAGTCAACGGCTGTGAAAACACTTTGTGACCTGTTGAACGCCAACGGTACAGAGTACATTGAATATACGGGAAGCCAACGGCTAACTGGTGAGCTGCATCGCATGTCTATTACTCACACGTACAAAGGCAGGTTTTAGTATTATCATAACTTATATTATGTTTGAAAGTATGGAGATAATGCAGGTGTATGAATGTGCCCCCTGTACATGTATAGTTATAAGTACTGTAAGTGAGTAGTCCACTAGCAAACTGCGCTATATGCGTGGATAAAAAAAAGATATAAACTAAAAAAAAAAAACAAATATTGTTCTGAAAACGAATTTTTAAATGGTACTTTTTAATTATCTGAAAATTGTGATAAAAAAGAGATGGACAATATGAAGAGACAAAATCACAGTATTAACCTTTTTACTCTATTTAAAAATTGGACATAGAGAGTTTTGCAACAGTAATCTTAAAATAACTAGTTTTGTAATTGTTTAGAATTAACGTACATGGCTAGTTTTGCTATAATGTTACTAAAAAATACAACTTGAATCTAATTTTAATATTCCTTTGGACTCTTTCCACGTTTATACGGAATACATGGGGAACGGAATTAATGTTAGGTACAGACCTTTTTTCTTCCTCATCTAATTCTTTCTTGATGAGTTGCTTCTCGTTGATCTGCGCATCTCGGATAGCATGACACTTTGAAGCCAGGATAATAGCGTTGCAGAGACGTGGACCAACCATCTGATCAGCTTTAAGCACTAAAATAAACCATGACGGGTAGATTTTATCAAGGGTCCATCATAATTAGTTACGTTTACACGCAGTAGAGCTCCAGTAAGTCTAGGGAAGTACTGCCACCTTACCTATTTCTGCCGCCAAGCAGTAACGTGACTATTACTGTGTTACGGTATTGGTGAAACGGCACTGGTGAAATGGTAGGCGCATGTGAGATTTCTGCCGTCCCAAACTAAAGCTAGCCGCGTTGTTAACTGACAAAATATTTTTTTTGAGATATCATAAAAAACAATAACCCCGCTTAGCTTAGTTGGTATGGCGTCTGACACGGTATGCAAGAGGACGTCGGTTCGAATCCGACCGGATCGAAGAAATTTTTCTGAGTGTTCTATCTTTGTATTAATAATTATAACAAAGTAGTGGAGTAATTTCACAAAAAAAATTAATATCAATTCAATAAAAATTTAATTAATACAGTGAATAGCGACATCTCTCGCCAGGACTGGTAGCTGTAAAGGTACTAACTGGGTGATAAATCTTTCATAGATTTCTCATAAATGGCGCTACGACTAAAAAGTCGTTGAAAAACCAAAGACACGACGCAAGCACATAGAAAAATTCGTGAGGACCGTTGGTTCGTTCCGTTGCTTAGTTGGTATAGCGTCTGGCACGGTATGTAAGAGGACGTCGGTTCGAATCCGACCGGATCGAAGGAATTTTTTCTGAGTGTTCGATCTTTGTATTAATAATTATAACAAACTAGTGAAGTAATTTTACAAAAAAAAATTGAATATCAATTCAATAAAAATTTAATTAACAATAACCCAGTTTTAGAATACTGAAATTGTTTAATGATATTTGTAAGTTCCGATAACTCGAACACGTTAACTAATTTTAACTGTTTTTAAAAGATAATTTTGTGCTCTCTTTTTCTATTTGAAACGGATATTTGATCATTTGTCAGATAGCCGTTTTTTAGTTACTGGATGGCAGATTTGTCAACTTATGCCTCAGGGTGACAGGCGCAGTGGCAGTACCCCTAAGATCTTTGCGATTTAACGCTCTAAGTGGCACTATAACTGCTATGGATAGACATGTCGCTTACCATCAGTAGGGCTAGCATGAC